CCCCTCCTACCCCCTCCCTACCCTTTGGGGTATCTACGGTGCCCCCTATCTTTCTTTTCTCAAGATATTCAAAAGAAAGAAAGAAAAAGAAGAAGAAGAAGAGAGAGAAAAAAGAAAGAAAAAAGGATGAAAAGCGCAGGGAAGTGGAAGAAAGAAAAAGGAAATGGGAACAGCAGAGAAGGAAAAAGAAAAAGAAAAGAAGATAGGGAGTGGGTGGGAGAGGGTAATTTAGACTTTTTAGTATAAAAAAGTTTCCAAAAATAGAAATGGGAAGATTATTATTGGACGGAAGAAAAAGGAAAGTGGGAACTTTATTCTTGGACGGTGGGAGTAGGAAAAAAAGACTTGAGCAAAAACAAACCTTCATAGAAGAACAAACAGACATAATAGATTAGGATTAGAAAACAAACTTGCAAAGGCTGAAGAAAAAACAGAAGAAACAAATCTGCCAAACAAATTTTGAAGAATGAAAGAGATGCGACCATCCCAGACTTGCATTGATAAAGATAACTCCGAGAAGTAGATTACTCGAAGGAACAAGGAAGTCACAAATGATTCTTTGTCTTCGACTTCTAAACTTTCCAGATTAGAGGTAATGAGAGGGGCAATTTGATTTTTTTTATTTCTAGGGCTAAATACGTAAGGCAAGAAAGGCGATCGCCTGAGGCAGCAATTGAGGCGAGAAAGGTGACTACCATAGGTATGCCTTAGGGATGTCGCCTCACCTGGCTCCCTTAAGGCATGCATGTTTGCCCAGTTGCATGGGGCACCTTAGGCGAGAGAGGCAAATGCCTTTCAAAACTATGTGTTTGAGGCTAGATGCATTGCTTCATTTACAGCAAAAATTCATAGAGTATGAAGCAAGGGATACCATTCACACCTCAACTCCCATGCATCACCTCAACATTGTGTTGATGTCATTCTCTATTTGCATGTCATCTTATTAGTGCATGCCTTCGTATGCTCTTCACAGCGATTTTCCATATTCTATCAATTTTCCAACCTACGTGTTGTCATTATAGTTGCATGTCATTTTATTTATCACATGCCTTCGTCCATTCTCCGTAATGTTGTTCCATATTCCTTTTTTGTCCTACACGTGACTTATTCTCTTTACCCACTCTGTTTGGGTGTGTTTGCTTTGTTCACAACACAACACAACATCCAAAAATGCCTTCACAATTCATCTAATATATCTCAAGATATTCAATACTTCAAAAAGGACATCGTCGCTAACACCAAGATAACTTTTTTGTCTTCGTCAATATCAACTTTATTAATTCCACATTTTACATGACACAAACTCCAAACACGCTTCACCTTTCAGACTTCATTACATGTTCGTGATCCAACTCCACTCAACCGCTTATTATACTCCCTTTGTCCCAAATTATTTTTCCCTAATTGATTTGACACAGATTCAAAAATGTTAAAAACATGACAACAACAACAATAATCCCGGTATAATCCCACAGAAGAAGTAGGGTTTGGGGAGGGTGTGTATGTGGGAAGGGTGTGTGTACACAAACTTTGCTCCCACTCGAAAGAAGAGAGGTTGTTTCCAAGAAAACATATGCTCAAGCAGTGTTGAAAACATGAATGGTTAAAATTTGAAGATAGATAAGTATTTTGGATCACATATCTTGTTCTAAAATAAAAGAGGATAATAGTAAAAAAAATCGGAATGAGCATAAAGCAAAGTGGGAAAA